CTAACTTTTCCGCCAGTCGTGTGACCCCAACAACAACGCTGTTTATCGAGCGTGAGGGTTTGCAGGTCTCCCTCAGGATGCTGCCTGTCTTTTACCAGGAACCTGATCACCGTCTGGGACACGGTCAACTGGCACCAGGTCTACCCTCTGTCAGGACTGGTCACTACCGGCACGGATGCTCAGGAAGTCGCACGTCCACCCCAAACGATCTGAGTGGCTGGGGAAAGGGAGGGCCGTGAGTGCGCGGGGCAGGGGGTTGGGGACACCAGAGTCAGGGACGTGCAGGGTGGTGGGGGCCTGGGCCGCGTGTTGCTGCAGGAATTGGCGTGCAGGGTGGCAACAGATGTCCAGGTCGAGGCAGCTGCCCTCTGGAGCCTAAAAAACCAGCGACGCTCAAGACCCGAGGCCGCGCACCAGTCGGGGGATGCTCGGATGTGCGGTGGGACCCCGTCTGCGCGTAGCCCTGTTCGGGTACAATCTCACATCGGCCCCAGGATCGTGTAACTCCCTCAGGACCCTGTGCCCCACAGCCTGGGCCGCCTCTGCAATGTGTGTCGTATGTTTCTCGGGGTGGGGGGGCAATGTAGTAGGCTCAGTATGGACTGCTGCTGCACATCATCCACCTCTACACCATTGTCCACCGCCCAGACACGCCCTCGGCATGCTTACTTATTGCTGGACAGTGAGGATCCCCAGCGGAGGGCTCTCTACGACCCCTCGGTGACCTGGTGTTGCAGCAGTCCCTTACAGCCACAGAAAATGCGGTGGTTTGCGGGTCGCCCAGTCCATCCGCTTATTCTGAGATGCTGCGGAGTCCGTGAACTGAGTGTGTATATTGTCTGTGGGCGTTTGCAACCCCTTTTTGAGCTGTTTGACAAACCCTTCTGTTGCATTCTGAGCTGCACTTCAGCCCCTACGCTCCTGATCTTTGGGCACCTGGTGCGTAGGGGTTGTGGCCTGATCGGAGGAGCTCTTCATGGGGCTGCTCCTGGGCCTGGCCAGGCTGGCTATAAACAGGTCCAGGAAGTGGGCCAGGGAGGGGATCATCTCTGCCCGACTGCCTTCCCCTCTTCTGCGGATACGTTTGTACCTGAGTGTCCACCAACACTCTCAAAGCCTTTAGGGAGGCTTGGGCGGCGCGGGGGGGGGTTGCGGGGTGTAGCGGGAGTGCTTTATTTCTCCCTCCAACTTCACTTTGATTTCGTCCCCTCCTTCCCTCCCTACCCTCGTCCCTCTCGCACTTTTGGGATGACAGCATTGCCCCTGACAGGCTTTGTGACAGGCAGGCAGGGACAGGGACAGAGAGAGAGAGAGAGAGAGAGAGAGAGACACACACACAAAGACAGAAACAGAGAGAGAGAGAGAGACACACACAGAAAGACAGAAACAGTCGGAGAGAAAGAGAGAGACACACACAGAAAGACGGCAACAGACAGACAGAGAGACACACACACAGAAAGACAGAAACAGAGAGAGAGAGAGACACACACAGAAAAAAAGAGAGAGAGAGAGACACAGAAAGACAGAAACAAAGAGAGAGAGAGATATACACACAGAAAGACAGAAACAGTGAGAGAAA